TCCCAACACAATTCTTTATGGATTTTGAAAGAACAATTGTTGATTTTTTTTTCTCTTTACTCTTCTGGGGGGCCTGCCACCCAGCTCCCAAATAAATGACACATGGAGACTTATTATTACTTATGAATGCTCGGCCTTAGCTTGGCTTGTTTCTTGCCAGCTTTCCTTAACTTAAAATTATCTCATCTACCTTTTGCCTCTGGGCTTTTTCCTTTTCTTCTGTATATCTTACTTTCACTCTTACTCTGTGGCTGGTTGTGTGGCTGGGTGGCTGGCCCCTAACATCCTCCTTGCCTCATTTTCTTGTTCTTTCTTCTTTTCCTCCCAGATTTCTTCTTCTATTTATTCTCTCTGCCTGCCAGCCCCACCTATCCTTTCTCCTGACTCGATATTGGCCATTCAGCTCTTTATTTGACCATCAGGTGTTTTAGTCAGGCACAGTAATACAGCTTCACAGAGTTAAACAAATGCAACATAAAAGAATGCAACATATCTTTGCATCATTAAAGCAAATGTTTCACAGCACAAACAAATGTAACACATATAAAATAATATTCTACAGCAAAAAATACTCAACTTCATATGGAAAAAAAAAAAAACAGGATAGCAAAAACAATCCTGTACAATAAAAGAACTTCCAGAGGTATCACTATCCTTGACTCCAAGCTGTACTACAGAGTTATAGTAACAAAAACCACATGGTGCTGGCATAAAAACAAACAGGTCAATCAATGGAATCAAATCAAAGACTCAGATGTTTATCTACACACCTATGGACACCTGATTTGTGACAGAGAAGCCAAAATTATACAATGGAAGAAAGAAAGCATCTTCAACAAACCGTCCTGATCTAACTGGATGTCAGCATGTAGAAGAATGCAAATAGATCCATATTTATCACCCTGCACAAAAATCAAGTCCCAGTGAATCAAAGACCTCAATATAAATCCAGATACACTGAATTTGATAGAAGAGAAAGTGAGAATAGCCTTGAATGCATTCGCACACGAGACAATATCCTCAACAGAACACTAAGATCAACAATTAACAAATGGGACCTCATGAAATGGAAAAGCTTCTGTAAGGCAAAAGATACTGTCCATAGGACAAAACAGTAACCCGCAGAATGGGAAAAGATCTTCATCAACTCCATATCCAACAGAAAGCTAATTTCCAATATATATAAAGAACTCAAGAAACTAGATATCAAAAAAACCCCAATAATCCAATTAAAAAGTGGGGTACAGATCTAAACAGAGAATTTTCAACAGAGGAATCTCAAATGGTCAAGAAACACTTAAAAAAATGTTCAACAGCCTTAGCCATCAGGGAAATGTAAATTAAAACAACTTTAAATTCCATCTTGTACCTGTCAGAATGGCTAAGATCAAAAACATAAGTGATAGCTCATGATGGAGAGATTGTCGAGCAAGGAGAACACTCCACCATCACTGGTGTGAGTGCAAACTTTGGAAATCAATATGGCAGTTTCTCAGAAAATTGGGAATCGATATACCTCAAGACCAAGCTATCACACTCCTAGGCATATACCCAAAGGACACTCTATCTTATCACAAGGACACTTGCTCAACTATGTTCACAGTAGCTTTATTCATAATAGCCTCAAACTGGAAACAATCTAGATGTCCCTCAACATCTAGAACAGATAAAGAAAATGTGGTACATTTACACAATAGAGAATTACTCAGCTGTTAAAATGACATCATGAAATTTGCAGGCAAATAGATGGAACTTGAAAAAAAAAAGCATCCTGAGTGAGGCAGCCCGGACCCAGAAAGACAAATATGGTATGTATTCACTTATAAGTGGATATTGGCTGCAAAGCAAAGGATAATCATGCTACAAACCACAGATCCAGAGAGGCTAGGTAACCAGAAGGGCTTAAGGGGGACACTTAGATCTCCCTGGGAAGGGAAAATAGAATATATTTTGCTGGTAGACTAGGAACAGGTGGAAATGGTAACAGGAGGGACCAAGTCGGGGTAGGGGGTTAGAGAGGGAAGAGTCCTGGAAGAGGCAACTATAAAAGGAGGACATTTCAGGATCAGGTAGAAATCTAGGTACAATGCAAACTCCCAGGAATCTACAAGGGTGATCCTAGCTATAACTCCTAGCAATAGGGGATACATAGCCTGAACTTCGAGTGGAGGGATTGAGACACCAATCCAGCTGCATAACCTTCGACCCACAATTTGTTCTGCTTACAAGATGTGCTGGGGTAAACGTGGCACAGAAATTGTAAGAATGGCCAACCAATAACCAGTCCAGCCTGAGAGTCATGCCATGAGAGGGAGCCCACCCCTGACACTGCCTGAGTGCTAGGACCCAAAGAATCGATGGTCCAGAGACCTAGGATAGAACCAAACACAAATTTCAAAGAAAATCAATGTAATGATGCCTAATGATATCCGACTATACACATAGACTGGTGCTTAACCCAATTGTCATCAGAGAGGCTTCATCCAGCAACTGACAGAAACAGCTGATTCAGAGACCCACAGCTAAACATAAGGCATAGCTCAGGCAATCCTTCAGAAGAGGAAGAGGAAGGATTGTAGGAGCCCAAAGGGGTCAAAGATATCACATGAAAATCCATAGAATCAACTAACCTGGACTCATAGGGGCTGCCACGGACTGAACCAACAACCAGAGAGGCTGCATGGGACTGACCTAAGCCCTCTGCATATATGTTACAGTTATGTATCTTGGTCTTCTTGTGGGACTCAACAGTGGGAGCAGGGCCGCTCTCCTGACTCTTTTACAAATTTTTGGGACCTTACTCCTCGTATTGGGTTTGCCTTGCCCTACTGAGAGCTGCAGAAATATGAAGTAGAAATTCAGCTGACTATGGCAAAGCTAACAACTGGAAGAAGCCAAGCGCCCGTCCAGAGGATAAAGCTAAAACTTAAGGAGTCTTGGTGATATTGGCTTTTGAATATTAGCCATTTCCTACAATGAATTTCTTGTATGCTAATGTAGCTTTTCCATTTAATTCTCTTTCTAAGAATAGTGTGTTTGATCATTCATTGGGCACAGTTTTTCCCTACACAATTAAGGTATTTGAAAACTTCCCCCAACTGTGTTGACAACAGTCACACAGGCAAGACTTCTCTTTTCCAAGCTTTTGTTTCCACTTTTCAGCATTTGAATCAGTTATCTGCCTTCTGTAATTATCTCCTTAACAATTATTCAGGGCCAGAGTCATCTCCAGACAAAAGCATTTTATCTGAGATACCTCTCAAACATCCAAGGACAGACTGCAGATAGATAAACATCCAGACCACCTGCTAGTCTCCTAAAAATAATGTAAATATCCATGTGGAGACAACCGTCAAGGCCAGATAGACATTAGGTACAAAGCCTTGTTTCTTATGCAAATTAAAATCTCCTTTCTCCCATAGCCCAAGTGGTATCTCTAGACTTTGCCTTTAACAATTACTCAGAACAAAAGGGTTTTTACACTCCAGGTACATCAAGCTGTGACACAGGCTGCCTAGCTACCCCCACCCTGTCAGAAAACAGCACAGCCAAGATTAGGCTGAGACAGATATGGATCTAAAGGAAAAGGAAAAAAAAAAAGGCAGTTTTATTTTACCCATGACTTAGTGACATAAAACTCCCAACATTTTACCTAACCACTTCTAAGAATATAGTTTGAGCACATAAATTTCCCTTTTTGATCTATTAACCGATTTTAGCCCTTAATTGACCCCACCTTTTTTAATCACTTCCCTTTTGTGTTGTAAATGAAGCTGACAAACACTGTTCTTTGTGTGGATCTTATGACCCAGAAAATCTTGAATTGCATTGTCAAAGTATTACTGTTTGTAAGTGTATATATACTGGTACCCCCACAGTACTGGGAGATTTTGACTTAGAAGAATAAAGTGAATGGACTAAAGAACTCTGTGTACTTAGATTCATTCAACAATCCTCAGATTAATTTTCGCCACTGGTAGCATTTCTTCTGGAACCCTGGAGACTATAAGGGGCTGGACCCCAATAGTCTTTGTTATTGCCCATCCTTAACACAAGGGGGGGTGCATAGTCTTACTGCAACTTGATATGCCATGTTTGGTTAATATCCCTGGGAGGCCTGCCCTATTCTCAATAAAAATATACGAGGAGTGGATGGAAAGGGTGGTACAGAGGGGAAGCAGGTAGGAGGGCCTGGGAGAAGAGAAGGGAGGGGAAACTGTGGTCAGCATATAAAAAATAATAATAGCCGGGCGGTGGTGGCGCACGCCTTTAATCCCAGCACTTGGGAGGCAGAGGCAGGCGGATCTTTGTGAGTTCAAGGCCAGTCTGGTCTACAGAGTGAGATCCAGGAAAGGCGCAAAGCTGCACAGAGAAACCCTGTCTCGAAAAACCTAAAAAAAAAAAAAATAATAATAATAATAATAAATAATAATATAGTAATAATGAAACATTAGAAATGTTTCTAGATACAACTGCTACTTAAAATATATCTTGTTTTATTAAGTTAGTAGATAATTAATGGACTGAACACATAAAATTTAATATATAACATCAGTATTCAATGCAGTCTTATTTAAGTTCACATTTTAACAAAATTTTTAATATCAACAAAGAAATGCCCAGTTAAGCATATTTTCATTTTCCCTACTTTGCATCTTAGCAATAAATTCATCTAAATAGATGTGGTTCCACAGCACTAAAACTATAAATAAGTCAATTTAATTTTTGTCAAATCTTGAAGAAAAAGCACTTAAAGGTATGGGACTAGGCTTCTTCAAGATAACCATATAACTATAACCACATCTGCATTTTCTGTGATATTTGAAAAATCATTTTAATACTGCCTGAGCCTTAGAAGACTCTTACACAATTCTGCCAAAAAGATGACTGCAGCTACTATAAAGGATTAAAGATGAACTAGAAAACAGCTGTTATGACTGTTAATAATATATGAGGCAAATCCTACACATTAAGGAACACAATGATAAACTCTCCATTACCTTCACATTAGGCTTCTTTGTTGAAACTCCTCTGTACCAACCTAAAAAGATATTAAAATAATGTTACTGTCATTCCATAAAAGACATAATAGTTATTTTAGAAAAAGCAGATGAATGTGATATTTTCCTTACTATTCTTTGGCTTCATTAGGATCTACAGTGAAGTGCTAGTAGTTTACTCCTGAAGGAATAGGTTTTTATCTTTATTCAGTTTTGGTTTTTATGGCAGATAGGAAATACAGTCCAGACTGTTTCCTGATTCATTCACTCTCCCATGCAGCATACTATACAATTCACTTATTTGTTGGTTGTTATTGTTTCTGTTCAGTTGCTAAAGTCAGTATCCCTACTATTACAGAGAAATCAATCTTTTTTCCCTTTCAGCATTTATATACAGCAACACTAACAAGAGTTTCAATTACCCAACAGAAGTATAATTTTCAAGCAGAGAAAATTTTATTGCCAACCTTTCTCAACTCTCAGAGTTTTGCTATATAGTTCACTAGTGTTTGAGAGGAAACAGCATGTAAAAGTATAAACTAATAAAAGTACATACAAAAGGAAAATGAAAGTGAAGAGTATAAATAACAGCTAATATTAACTGAGAACTTCTGTTAATAATTTTACATATTGGAATTGAGGGCATTTTCCATGTACTAATCTTCAAATCTCACGACAGTGCTATGAAAGGGGGGGAACTCTAAATTTTTCATATGAAAACAAAAGACTACAAAAGAACAGAAATTCTGCTTCTTTTAGTAACAACAGCTAAAACAATAAATTACAGTAATTAGTTTCACAAACTGAGTCTCAATTTCTTCATTGATCATTTTAGATAATCTTCAGCACTTGGGAAACAAAGGCAGGCAGATCTCTGTGGGGTTGAGGCCAGCCTGGTCTACAGAGCTAGTTCCAGGACATCCAAGGCTATACAAAGAAACCCTGTTTCAAAAAAAAAAAAAACCTTAAAAAAATAATAATCTTACTATACCTAACATGAACGTATTGAGACACCACATGGCAGAATGAGTCTCTCTAAAAACCTTGCGAATGAATGAATGAATGAGTGAATGAATACATACATACATACATAAAACCATGAATGCTCTAAAGCTACAGTATTCAAAGTTGTGGGGTACTGGGGAAAAAATAGGCAAACGATCTACCGAACAAAAGATAAAATCCATAAACAGACCCACACAGACTTCAACTGACCCTTGACAAAGAAGCAATGGCAACACAATAGGAAAAGGTTTTTTTTACCAAATCGTGCAAGAACAACTGGTATCAACTTGGGAAAATAAATAAATTATATACATATACACTCAGCCCAACCCCTAACTCGGGCGGAGACCCATGCTCCACCAGAGGCCAAGTCTGCCACTAGAGGGCCAGGTAGGCCACTGACCAGCAGACCTCCCCTACTCTCTCAGTGCCCTTCCCCACCCTATTCCCAATCCACCCTCCACTCTCCTTGTCACCAAGTCCCAGGCCCCAACTCAGGCAGAGACCCCACTACTCAACCAGAGGCCACACCGGCCACCAGAAGCCCAGGTAGGCCACCCACCTATGGGCACCCTACTCTCTTGGTATCCCCCACCCTATCCTCAATCCCACCATCCCTCCTTGTTTCTGTGTCCCAGATCACAACTTGGGCAGAGACTCCCTGCTCAATCAGAGGCCACACCTGCCCAAAGACCAAAGAGGATATAGAAACCAAGGAACAAAACACTCATCCAACAAAGATAAACTCAGAAATCAGCACCTAGACCTATAATCACTCTAAACCCAGATGCCTAGAGGCCAGCTAAGAACACAATCAACAACAGCCAAGGCAATAGTTACCACCAGAGCCCAGCTATCCTACTACAGCAAGCCCTGAATATTCCAACACAGCTAAGCATAAGAAAACAACCTTAAAACCAACTTTCTGAAAATGACAGAGGTCTTTAAAGAGGAAATTAATAATTCCCTTAAAGAAATTGAGGAAAAGACAATCAAAAAAATTAGAAGAAATCAACAAATCCCTTAAAGAAAGCCAAGAATAAACCAATAGTTGAAGGAAACGAATGAAACTGTTCAAGACCTGAAAATAGAAATAGAAGCAATAAAGAAAACACAAACTGAAGGAATTCTGGAAATGAAAAATCTAGGTAAGAGAACAGGAACTACAGATCAAGCATCACCAACAGAATACAAGAGATGGAAGAGAGAATATCAGGCATTGAAGACACGATAGAAGAAATAGATACATTGGTCAAAGAAAATGTTAAGTCTAAAAGATTCCTGACACAAAACATCCAGACAATCTGGGACACTAGGAAAAGACCAATCTAAGAATAATAGCAATAGGGCTGGAGAGATCGCTCAGAGGTTAAGAGCATTGGCTGTTCTTCCAGAGGTCCTGGGTTCAATTCCCAGCAATCACATGGTGGCTCACAACCATCTGTAATAAGATCTTGATGCCCTCTTCTGGCCTGCAGGCAACATGCAGGCAGAACACTGTATACATAATAAATAAATAAATCTTTAAAAGAGAAGAATAGAAATAGAAGGAGGAGAAGTATTCCAGCACAAGGGCCCAGAGAATATTTTTAACAAGATCACAGAAGAAAATTTTACTAACCTAAAGAAGGAGATGCCTATAAAGGTACAAGCAGCTTACTGAACACCAAATAGATTGGACCAGAAAAGAAAGTCCCTTTGCCACATAATAATCAAAACATTTAACATAAAGAACAAAGAATATTAAAAGCTTCAAGGGAAAAAGAACAAGTAACATATAAAGGCAGACCTATTAGAACTGCACGCAACTTCTTAATGTAGACTCTAAAAGCCAGAAGGGACTGGACAGATGTCCTGAAGACTCTAAGAGATCACAGATGCCAGATGGCGAAAACAAGATATTCCATGATAAAGTCAAATTTAAACAATACCTATCTACAAATTCAGCCTTAGGGAAAGTATGAGAAGGAAAACTCAAACCCAAAGAGGTTAACTAAACCCATGAAAACACAGGAAATAAATAATCTTACACCAACAAAACCAAAAAAAGGGAAGCATTGTGCCCACCCACGTGTACACACACACACACACACACACACACACACACACACACACACACACACATACACACACACACACTGCCAACACCACAACCAACAAAATAACAGGAATTAACAATAATTGCTCATTGATATGTCTCACTGTCCATTGAAGGGGCTCTAACAGGCCCAAGCACGGCAAACATGGCTCTGGTGGGCCTTGTCCTCCTTTCATACCCTCCTAGCTTGCTAAAAACCATTAAGTTACATTCCTAAAAATAGCCACCTAAGTCTATTCCATTATTTGGTCACTACTACCCCTGAGGTTGACTACCAAGGTCCAACTATCAAACTATGAAAATCCAGCAATAAAAATCCCCTTTTGGTCACCCTAATTAACTGTCCAATCAAAATTAAACACCCCATCCTGATACAGGGTTTCCCTTTTTTTTATTTTACTTTTTTTTTAATTTTTATTTTTATTTTGCAATACAATTTGGTTCTACATATCAGCCACGAATTCCCTTGTTCTCCCCCCTCCCACCTCCCTCACCTTCCCCCCAGCCCACCCCCTATTCCCACCTCCTCCAGAGCAAAGCCTCCCCCACGGACTGAGATCAACCTGGTAGACTCAGTCCAGGTAGGTCCAGTCCCCTCCTCCCAGGCCGAGCCAAGCGATCCTGCATAGGCCCCAGGTTTCAAACAGCCAACTCATGCACTGAGCATAGGACCTGGTCCCACTGCCTGGATGCCTCCCAAACAGATCAAGCCAATCAACTGTCTCACCCATTCAGAGGGCCTGATCCAGTTGATGACCCCTCAGCCATTGGTTCATAGTTCATGTGTTTCCATTCATTTGGCTATTTGTCCCTGTGCTTTATCCAACCTTGGTCTCAACAATTCTCGCTCATATAAACCCTCCTCATTCTTACTAATTGGACTCCCAGAGATCCACCCGGGCCCTAGCCATGGATCTCTGCATCCAGATCCCTCAGTAGTTGGATGGGGTTTCTAGCATGACAATTAGGGTGTTTGGCCATCCCATCACCAGAGTAGGTCAGTTCGGGCTGTCTCTCGACCATTGCCAGCAGTCTGTTGTGGGGGTATCTTTGTGGATTTCTGTGGGTCTCTCTAGCACTTTGCTTCTTCCTATTCTCATGTGGTCTTCATTTATAATGGTCTCCTATTCCTTGTTCTCCCTCTCTGTTGTTGATCCAGCTGGATCTCCCGCTCCCCCAAGCTCTCTTTCCCTCGACCCTCGCCTTTCACTACCCCCACTCATGTCCAGGCTGTTCGTGTAGATCTCTTCCATTTCTCCGTCATTGGGTGATCCCCGTGTCTTTCTTGGGGTCCTGTTTTCCAGGTAGCCTCCCTGGTGATGTGAGTAGCAGTCCAGTCATCCTTGTTCCACATCTAGTATCCTCCTATGAGTGAGTACATACCATGTTTGTCTTTCTGAGTCTGGGTTACCTCACTCAGGATGATTTTTTCTAGATCCATCTATTTGCCTGCAAACCTCATGATGTCATTGTTTTTCTCTGCTGAGTAGTATTCCATTGTGTATAGATACCACCTTACGCCTGTAAGAATGGCTAAGATCAAAAACACTGAAGACACCTTATGCTGGCAAGGATATGGAGCTAGGGGAACTCTCCTCCACTGCTGGTGGGAATGCAAGCTTGTACAACCACTTTGGAAATCAATATGGCGCTTTCTTAGAAAATTGGGAATCCATCTCCCCCAAGATCCAGCTATACCACTCTTGGGCATATACCCAAGGAATGCTCAATCACACCACAAGAGCACTTGTTCAGCTATGTTCATATCAGCATTGTTTGTAATAGCCAGAACATGGAAACAACCTAGATGCCCTTCAACTGAAGGATGGATAAACAGGGTTTCCCTTTTTATCTTTATAAATTTATTAGTATTCATTAGAAATCATTGAAACCGTGTTCCAAAGGAGACATTGGTACCCCAGGCTTCTTGACATCACT